ACTGATGTGGACTTTATTTATTTACACGTTTTTTTCATACTTTTTCTGTGACTTTATCAAAACATCAAAAAGCAATAAAACAGTAAATTGTTCATAAAGTTACAGATAAAAACTGTTCAAAGCAACTTTCCAAGAAAGTAAAACACCCAGAACCGAGTCTGGTTTTATGATATTTATCCTGAGAAACTTCACGTCTGATTTCACTTTGTTTGAAGTCACATGAAAACCTGAACCGTGTCTCCCACGTGGTGCTGCTCAGCCAATCACATCCCTCCGCACACTGTGGCTATAAAAGACCGTTATCAGGGTTTCCATCGATTTCTTGAGCCGCAGCAGCCTCCTGGGTCTCCCACCATGAATGGACTGTTGTTTGTGGGCCTGCTGGGCGTCCTGCTGCTCCTCCTCGTCCTCAAGCTGTTTTCCCGCCGCGGCGGCCACGTGCAGCTCGGCGGCGGCTTCGCGGTGCTCATCACCGGATGCGACTGCGGCTTCGGACACCATCTGGCCCGAAGTCTGGACCAGCAGGGCGTCGTGGTGTTCGCCGGGTGTCTGAACCCGGACGGAGCCGGAGCTCAGAGTCTGGTCTCCCGGAGCTCCAGGAACCTGAAGGTCCTGAAGCTGGACGTGACCAGTGATGAAGACGTGAGGAAGGCCAAGGCGGCGGTCCAGGAGAACCTGCCCCAGAAAGGTGGGTCCAAGAAAACTGTCTGAACAGATGAGGGAAAGAAATATCTAATTAAAATGAAGATGAGCGTGTTTATTAATTTAAATAAACTCAATATTTACATTTACAAAGTCAGAATTCTGTCTTTAGCGGAAATAATAAGATGATATTTATGTTAATTTTCATAAATTTAAAATGTTTGTCTTCATTCTCATCATTTAAATCTCATTTAATTCAACAGTTTTGTCTTTGGGAGTCAAAAGTTTTTTAATTAAGTAAAAAGTTTGTTTTGTTTTCAAGAAAAAGCTGCTTTAAAAAAAATGTAAAAACTTGATGTTTTTTTAATGTGCATTAATTAATGAATTAATTAAAATGCAAATGATCTTAAATATTCGTCCACATAATTTAAATTTATCTAAATTTCCGATTTACAGTCACAATTCTGTGTTTAGGTGAAATGATGAGATGCTTTTTATTTTTTTTTAATTTATTTTTAAATTTTGTTTTCATATTTTTTGACCTTTAAAGTCCAAATGTTTGTTTTTATTCCCCTTATTTGATCTTTGGGGGTTAAAAGTCATTTAATTAAGTAAAAAAGTTTATTTTCCAGAAAAAGTTGCTCCAAAGAAAAAAGCCAGAGTTAATTAAAATGTTTTTAAAAAATACAGAAATAAATAACATTTTTATAAGTTAATATAAATGCAGGTGATCGTGATTGTTAGTTGATATAATTCACATTTATCTCAATATTTTGATTTACAAAGTCTCATTCTTGTATTCAGTCAGAATTTCAAATGTTTTCTGACATTTTGTTTTGGATTCTTTTTATTTAAATTTTCATTCACATTATTTAAAGTCCAAATAATTCAACATTTTTGAATTTGGGAGTCAAACACTGGATTAAAATAAAAAAGAAAAAGGTGAAAGTTAATGTCCTATAGAAGAATATTAGAAAACTTTATTTTGAATTGGGAAAAATGGACTTTAATAAAAAATATAAATAAATAAATCCTAATTTTGAGGAACTCTGATTGTAAATAAGTCCGACTTTTTTACTTAATACGACATAATTTTGCTTTAAGAAGTCATAATTCTGTGATCACTGTTTGTAAAGTGCAAGTATTTAGATTATTGATAAACGTTTTCTGGCAGGAATGTTCCTCCGTACGTGTTTATGTCGTCTTATGTGTTTGTTTTTTGTCATATAAATTCTTGTTTTCACCTTCTGGTTTACATTTCAACGTGACACATGAATGATTTCTGGTTTCCAGGACTGTGGGCGGTGGTGAACAACGCCGGGATCTCGGACTGGGCCGAGATCGAGTGGAGCTCCATCGAAGATTTCCGCAGCATGGTGGACATCAACCTGTTCGGCGCCATCAGGACCTCCATCGCGTTCCTCCCTCTGGTTCGCGCCGCCAAAGGTGAGTTTGACGTTTATCTGGGCTTCGCTGCGTCGCCGCCGCCGCAGACGTGAACGTGTGGTTTGTGCTTCCAGGTCGGATGGTTTACGTGTCGAGCGTCTTCGCCTTCTTCAACTGCCTGAACATGGCAGCGTACAGCGTCTCCAAGAGAGGCCTGGAGGCGTTCGCCGACTGCCTCAGGGTGGAAATGGCCAGCTTTGACGTGAAGGTACGGTAACGCTGGAGAACCACACAAACCCAATCCACACACAGGTTCACTCATCGTGCACCTCCACCTGCAGGTCAGCATCATCCAGCCGGGGAACTTCGGCCGAGCCACCAACATCCTGAAGATGAAGAGCGGCCTGGACATCTGGGAGAAGCTGGACAGCGAGAGGAAGCAGACCTTCAACCAGCAGTACATGGAGCTGGCCAGCGACTACTTCATCTCCACCTGCAGGGCGGGTTTCAAAGACACCGACCTGGTCATCAACGCCATGCTGCACGCGCTCACCTCCACCCGGCCCAAGCCCCGCTACCTGCTGGTGTCGATGACGGACATGTTCTTCTTCAAGCTGTTCCCTTTTCTGCCCACCGTCGTCGCCGACTCGGTGTTTTCTCTCAGCTCCATGTATGCGACCAGAAAAGAGATGCTGTACGCTCGGTAAGACGAAGCTGTTCCTGGACTCGAGGGCAGAGTTTTCACACCGTCGCCTTTTTTAAAATTGTTTTCCAGCGTTTTAATTCAACTTTTTAATAAAAATGTACAAAGACAGATTTCTATCGTCAGTGTATTAAACATATAAACAAAGTGATTGCAGCCGTGTTGGTTTAATTGATCCCATTGTGACTTGACCGCATGAGCTCATGTCATTGATGATTGATGATGATCGACTGCAGCCACTGACTCCTCTGAGCTATTTTAAATAAAGGCCCGTTTGATAGAGTCAGCCACAAACACTGCTGTGGGAAAGTCTGAGGAACTCAGAACAGCAAATCACTGACCTGAACACATCAGGAACGTCACTGGGAGCCATTTCAGAGAAGCTTCACATCCCAAATCATCTGTTTGTATAAAGTTCATGGTCCAGTTGTGTTACTGCCACCATCAGGCAGAAAACACAAACTATCACCTGCTGCTGAGAGACGATTGGTCGGGATGGTCAAGAGTCAACCAGCAAAAAGCAGTTTTACATCAACATGAGCTGCATGAACAAGAAGTTCCTCCTCTAGAAGCAGAACTGTAAAGCTCCACTGAAGTTTCCAAAAAGGTCTTCTGGAGGAAAGTTCTGCGCTCACATGGACCAACCAGCCTCTAAACCCAGAAACACCAAACCTACCGTCAAGCATGGAGGTGGCAGCATCATGCTCTGGAGCTGTTCTGCTGCCAAATGGAGTTTTACACAAAGCAAACTGAATAATAAATGAAAAAATATGGATTATCTCCTTCTGGAAAATCATCCTCAGATGGTTGATCTTGGGCCCAGTTGGGTGTTTCAACTCAACAATGAGCCCAAACACACATCAAAAGTGGTGAAGAAATGGTTCCATCAGGCTGGAATGAAGGTTTTAGGCTGATCCTGACTTAAACCCATCAAGAAGAAGAAACAAGTCTGCGTCAGAACGACAATAAATTTAGTTTAATTGCACCAATTCTGTCACGAGGAGTCGAAGAGAAACCAGAAGCTGGTGGACGACTATGAAAACAAGACATTTATCCAAATACTATGAACGCTGTATGAAGATTTTTGTCATATTTCCAGAAAACGTATAATACATGTATGAAAGAACCAAAATGAGTTGTTGTTTTTTGTGACAAAGATTCATGTGTTTGAGTGGTTCCATCATAGGAAATCATAGGAGTCAATGGAAACTCAATGTGTACATAGACGGATTGACTTTAGCGACCTGAACACACCTGAAGTGAATATTATGGAGTAAAACTGCACTGTAGCGGCAGATACTGAATATTAAGCGACAGGGTTCTTATCTGGACCAAACACAGCTTCAGGTTTTATTACTAAACCGTATACAAGAGCAGAATATGTGTTTACTTATTGTGTTTAGTTATATTTGGCTTCATATTAATACTTATGTTTATATTTTTACTTTCCTACTTCTTCTGAGACTTTTGATTGGGAGCATCTCGGGTTTTCTCGAATTGGATGCAATTTATTGAGACTTGGAGCAACAACAGCCTCAATATTCTCTCATTTTCATCCTTGAATCTTGCATCCAGACATCTGAGAACAAGCTTTTATGGGGGCGTCATCAGGGTCTTGGATGGAGGAACAATACTCCAAAATGACCACAGGAACAACTCTACTTTTGTTTCACCGTGCTGAATGTATCGTCCAACAACTTCCTCATCGGGTCACTGTTTTTAAGCCGTGCTACATTTATATTTTATTGTATGTTTTTATTTCAGTTTGTCTTGTCGTCTCCTCTCTGCTCTGTGGAAACACTGCCTGCAGCTCATTCCAACACTTGCACAACTTCTGTCTTGCTGCTCACAGATGAGTTGGTTGTTTACAGCATCGGGTGCAAATGTTTTGATGAAATGATAAAATAATACAGTTTAAAGCTTGTTTTTGGTTATTTTCCTGACATGATAGGTTTGAGGACTGTCGGACAATCGCTTCTGTTCTCGCGGTTTCTTTTTGTTTGTTTTTTATTTTGTCGATTTAAATCAAAAAATTTAAAAAAGATGTCACGAGCTTTGGGGTTCAGAAGGTTAATAAATAAATGCACAAGCGGTTTATGCGTGCCGAGTTAAATTAGTCCAGAAGGAAACACGAGAGCTTCAGTGGAGGGTAAAGGGCTGATCTATAAGAGAAGCACAAGGGGATGTACAGTAGCACAGACCAGCCAAGACAACAAACCCCTGCAGGGTGAACGGCTTAAATGACGGCTTTTGAGCAGGTCGGCTGGTAAAGCATTAAATCCAACAATGGCTCGGCTCACGCTGGATGTGCTTGGAGTGATGTTCGGAGTCAGGAAGAAGTTGATCACTACCAGAGATAATCTGATCTGGGACAACAGTGAACAGTGCGGACACAGTGCCAGCTGTGATTTATCAGAAATAAAAAGCCCACTGTGCTCCACTCTGGGGTTTTGCTGCCAAGACCTCGGTTGGTGTAGAAGTGAACAAAAGCCTCCAGTTTCTGGACGGCGGGGGAACGCCACCACTGCTCCACCTTCACATCCTTGTAGTAATGATGGCTCTACAGCCCCTGTGGGAAGCAGTCATCCCTTTCGGAAATTTTGCCTTTTTATTGCTTTTAAACACTAGATGAGTCACTGGTGAATCAGTGCTTCTGGTTACGACTGCACCACGGAGATGCATCGACGCCCCAGGTCATCCTGTCAGAAGGTTACTGGAAGCCACAAGTCGGGGGGGTGACGCAAGAACATTTCCAAGTAACTGAAGTTCCGCGAAATCATCACTTGGGAAAAGCAGCAATATGGAAAATGTGGAAATCTGCAGGTTGTCCTCAGAATGAAATGTTACAAATAGACGAGTGAGGAGAGCCACCAGGA